CATAAATTTTTCCAAGACTGCATTATTTTAAGTTTCAAAACCAGATTTTGAGAGTAGCAGGTCCAAGAGGTTTCTAATGCCAAGAAGGCGAATATTCCAGCAAGAAAAAAAGTAGGCCCTTTAAAATCTGAGCTTTGTTATCTGACTGAGGTCAGCAGAGACAGACCAAATCAACAAGCATGACATGAAGGGCAAATTTGCAATTAAAAGAAGAATAGGGAATTATAAAGATGGATGGGCCCCATGACATGCACGCCCAAGCCTGCATGGCCTTGGCCTCGGATGCCAGAAATTAATGCTTTACTCTTTAGCACTGGTCACCTTTGGCTCTGAACAGAAAGGCAAATGCATTAAAATAACAACAATTAGAACACTTACTTAGCTTGGAAGGCATTGTTGGTTCCCCTGTGGTCGAGGTCATGACACAGGCATCCCACAATCACAGCTAAAATTTCCACCTCGGTCAGAATCTCTTGAAACCCAGCAGTCTGGGGAGAAGGGGAAAATGGCAGCAGTCACTATGAGGGGCAGGGAGGAGGGATAAGGTTAGTCCACTGAGCAGCAATCAGTTCTGTTTTCATCCCCACATCATTTAAGGAGATGATTAACTGCCACCCCCCTGGATGACAGTAAGTTGGGTGGTCAGTTGCCCAACCTGAGGTCCCCGCAGTGATGAATTAGCTTGCTGTCACAGTGGCCAATGCGGCCACACCAGGACAAAGTTCAGACTATTTTGTTCCCTTTGTAAAGAGGAGGCTGTACTATCCAGATACACTGACAGTGTGGCAAAGAACCAAGGCAAAATGTCTTTTGTTATTCTACATTTTAATGATGAGCATCATGTGTAGTTGTACTGTAGAGGGACAAAAGAGGATTGTGAAGTTCAAACAGAATGCTATATCCCCCAGATGCCACTCAAATGAAATCAGGCAAAAGAAAAAAAAAAAACTTTAAAAAAGTAGTATAGGTCCAGCTGGTGGTGTAGTGGTTAAGGCAGCTAGATCCCACATGACTGATCACAGAGTTCAAGTCCTGGACCTGACAGCTCGGAAAATAGGCCAGCTAGCAGTTTGGAAAACACACCACATGGCCAGTTGCACAGTTCAAGTCCTAGACCAGGCAGCTTGGAAAACAGCGCATGTGTGCGCATGCCCAAAATCTTGAGAGAGAAATGGAGAAGGGATTGTGGCATGGCCATCTCCTCCTGAGGGTGATTTCTCACTCTTCTTCCCTCTTCCTCTTTCTGTCTCTATCTCTGACTAGCACATATACCCTGTAGGAAATTTAATAACCTAAGGAGCAGTTTAGAGACATTCAAATTGCTACAGGATGATATTCTAGGTATTGTTTTGTACATATCTTAATTTGTATTAAGTTGGTCGACAGGTAAAATTCGTATGGATAATGAGGCAGGGCATGTCTTGGAAAGTAGAATTTGACAGAGGGCTAGGCAACTCAGATTGAGGATTGAGTGGTGTATTCATTATCTGAGATTCTTATAGCTTGCTTACAAAATACATAGCTATGATGTGATTTCTTCTGGAAACAGTTTGATAGAATTACGTAATCAAGAGCAGCAGTGGTCCTCTGCTTCTTCCAGTCCTTTCATTAGTTTAGAAGAGGAAGTGCAATTCTGGGAAGGCAGGTCTATGCATTTTCTTGACCCAGGACTTTATGGCTTCTGACTCCCTCCAACCTCCCTGACCAATAGCCTTTTCCTTTGTCAGTCTCCCATTTTATTTCCTGTTACATTATTTATCTGAGGGCAGAGGTGGGGGTGGGGGGAGAATTGGGATTCCAATCATTTCACTTTTCTTGTTTTCGCTAAATCTAGGATCACTAGCTAATACTGGTAAGATACTTCTATCAGGGCAATGAATATCTTTTTAATTAGTTATGTTTTTATTGTAGAAGTAATTGAATAACAGGTTCTTGTGTTGGCAATTTTATTAAAAAAAAACAAAAAACTGACCGGGGGTGGGGGTGGTAATGCATGGTGTGCAGAGGAAAAACTTGACATTCTATGAGGCTGCCCCACAGGGAAGGCTAAAGGTTCACAACTGGAGGCCCCCGTGAGTACACGGGCACACATGTGCCCATGCTCCGGGGCTGGCTGAGGCTGGGGAGGATTATGGCATCAAGATCCTGTTGGGTGAGCTGCGTCTTTCTCAGTCACTCATGAAGACATAAATAAATAAATAAAATCGGCTTGGGTCTACTGCATCTAGAAATTCATGTAAATTCATTTGTATGGCAAATAGGAATGTTAATATAGTGTCTGCGAGTATGAAACAGTCCATATCAAAGCTTGTGTGTGTCTTTCATTTTAAAATGTGGAGCTGGCTATTCTAGGTTAACTTTATTTTATTTAAAATATTACCTATAATAGTTAAAAAAATTAAAATTGTACTAGGATGGAGAACCAAAAAACAAGTCCCTCATCTTTCCCCTTCTGGATTCTAAAAGGCAATCACTTTCCATTTTCTTTTTCACCTAAATTGTTAAGTTTCCACCATATTCCTTTTTTTTTTTCACATGTAAAATTTTAATCAATGCATAACTATTGTTCATATTTATGGAGTGCAATGTGATGTTTTGATGCATATACACAGATGTAATGATCAAATTAGGGTAATTAGCATATCCATCACTTCAAACATCTATCATTTCGTTCTGGTTAAGAACCCTTGGGAACAGCAGTTGGCATAATGGCTATGTCGCTGGACTCCCATTTAGTAGGCCACGGTTGAGTCCCGGACCCAATGGTTTAAACTCATGCCAGGCGTGTGTGCGTGTGTGCCCAACATTCCGAGAGGAGAATGGAGAAGAAGGGATTGTGGTGTGACCATCTCCCCAGGGGGTGATTTTTCATTTTCTGTCTCTCTGTCTTTCTCTGTCTTTCTGGCGAGCACATGGGCCCTATGGCAAAAACCTCTCCAAAATAAAAAATTAAAAAAAAAGAACACTTAAAACCCTCTCTTCTGAGATAAATAGTATATTGTTATTAACTGTAGTCACCCTCTGTACAATGAAATACTATAATTTATCCCTCCTATCTAACTGTAACTTTATACTCATTGATCAACCTCTCCTGTTTTACCAAATTTTTATGTAGATTTTTACATAATTTTATATACATTTTATATTTAAATGCATGTATTGTTAGCACTTGCTTATTTACCAGTACTTATTTAGTCCTTTCTAACTACCATTCATCGCCTAACAACTTCAGAACTATTTAACTTAATTAATTTTCATAACAGTCCTATAAGGTAGGAACTCTACTGTTGCCACTTGTAAGTGAGAAATCTGAGTCACAGAGAGGCTAAGTCCCATGCCTAAGATCCCATAGCTAGTGGGTGAAGGACAGTTTATGTTACATTTTCTCATGAAGCTGCTAGTTCACTTACACCTTCCCCTCACACTCGCAATGTAATCCATAGACAGAACTTCTCTGATGTCACCCTATAAATATTAATCACTGCTAAGTCAACTAGTACATGGTCATTGTGTCCTTTCTTATACAATTTTTTTTTTTGGCCTCAATTTTCTCAGTGAAGTAGGAGGAAAGGTGATCTGAGAGGTGCAGAAGAGGTGACAGGGCATGAGGTGGTCTAGGTAGAGAGAACATCTGGTATATGTAACTGTCAGGAGCGATAGGGGACAGAATTGGCCGTGACCCAGAAAGATGAGTGGGGAGTACTGAGCGTCCAGCTGGGGTGGGAGAATGCGAGTACGTATTGGTTATGGCTCCACCTCTCACCATGGTGACATTTTCTCCCAAAGCCTCAATACGTCTAGGCAGAGTGGCAAGAAATGAAATTTTCAGGTTGAGTGAGGGTTGACCTTTTGTAAAGAGGACATCACAGAAACATAAGAAGGTCAAGAAATTACAGGATATTGAGAAGATGGGATTGAGGTAATGGGCTATACGATACAAGATAGATAGAAAAGGACACAAACTCAAAATTCGCCTGCTAGATCAGGAGCCTGTGGAAGGGTCCAGGGCTCCGAGGTCTCAGTGGGAAGGTATTTGGGGAACAAAAAGAGTGGTGAGTTGAGAGGAACCTATTGAACACAGAGCAAACTGTTGGGGTTTCAGATAAAAAAGGTCAACCTACTCTGCGGGCCTTGAAATCAGTCATCTGAAAATGCATCTTACTTCTTTGTTGAGTTGAATCTTTCTCTAATCACCCTAGCCTAAAACTTTCCTCTCCAGCCTCTGAACTCCTGTATCATTTTGTTTGCAGATAGATAGTGCAAAGAAAATTAAAGCTGTGTTCTCGAATAAGTCAGGAGACTGGGTGGTGATCTTATTTCCAGCACCTGGAAGTTCTGTGCCTTTGGCTACAGAGTGAACCAACAAGTGAGGCTATCTCGACCTGAGCTTCTCACTTAGGGACAGAGTATTCTAACTATGTGCATTACATGCACGGCAAATAGTTGCCTGCATGTCCCTGTATTTGTGTAAATCCTTTGTTTTCCACCTTCTTACTGGGAGTAGGATGGGAAGAGCAAAGCCTATGCTCTGAGTGTGGCTTTATTTCATTGCAGTTTATACAACACTCAACATCACAAGGGTCCTAGATGAGATTCTATGGGGAAAGAAAGGTACTTTACAACATAAATTTTTCCAAGACTGCATTATTTTAAGTTTCAAAACCAGATTTTGAGAGTAGCAGGTCCAAGAGGTTTCTAATGCCAAGAAGGCGAATATTCCAGCAAGAAAAAAAGTAGGCCCTTTAAAATCTGAGCTTTGTTATCTGACTGAGGTCAGCAGAGACAGACCAAATCAACAAGCATGACATGAAGGGCAAATTTGCAATTAAAAGAAGAATAGGGAATTATAAAGATGGATGGGCCCCATGACATGCACGCCCAAGCCTGCATGGCCTTGGCCTCGGATGCCAGAAATTAATGCTTTACTCTTTAGCACTGGTCACCTTTGGCTCTGAACAGAAAGGCAAATGCATTAAAATAACAACAATTAGAACACTTACTTAGCTTGGAAGGCATTGTTGGTTCCCCTGTGGTCGAGGTCATGACACAGGCATCCCACAATCACAGCTAAAATTTCCACCTCGGTCAGAATCTCTTGAAACCCAGCAGTCTGGGGAGAAGGGGAAAATGGCAGCAGTCACTATGAGGGGCAGGGAGGAGGGATAAGGTTAGTCCACTGAGCAGCAATCAGTTCTGTTTTCATCCCCACATCATTTAAGGAGATGATTAACTGCCACCCCCCTGGATGACAGTAAGTTGGGTGGTCAGTTGCCCAACCTGAGGTCCCCGCAGTGATGAATTAGCTTGCTGTCACAGTGGCCAATGCGGCCACACCAGGACAAAGTTCAGACTATTTTGTTCCCTTTGTAAAGAGGAGGCTGTACTATCCAGATACACTGACAGTGTGGCAAAGAACCAAGGCAAAATGTCTTTTGTTATTCTACATTTTAATGATGAGCATCATGTGTAGTTGTACTGTAGAGGGACAAAAGAGGATTGTGAAGTTCAAACAGAATGCTATATCCCCCAGATGCCACTCAAATGAAATCAGGCAAAAGAAAAAAAAAAAACTTTAAAAAAGTAGTATAGGTCCAGCTGGTGGTGTAGTGGTTAAGGCAGCTAGATCCCACATGACTGATCACAGAGTTCAAGTCCTGGACCTGACAGCTCGGAAAATAGGCCAGCTAGCAGTTTGGAAAACACACCACATGGCCAGTTGCACAGTTCAAGTCCTAGACCAGGCAGCTTGGAAAACAGCGCATGTGTGCGCATGCCCAAAATCTTGAGAGAGAAATGGAGAAGGGATTGTGGCATGGCCATCTCCTCCTGAGGGTGATTTCTCACTCTTCTTCCCTCTTCCTCTTTCTGTCTCTATCTCTGACTAGCACATATACCCTGTAGGAAATTTAATAACCTAAGGAGCAGTTTAGAGACATTCAAATTGCTACAGGATGATATTCTAGGTATTGTTTTGTACATATCTTAATTTGTATTAAGTTGGTCGACAGGTAAAATTCGTATGGATAATGAGGCAGGGCATGTCTTGGAAAGTAGAATTTGACAGAGGGCTAGGCAACTCAGATTGAGGATTGAGTGGTGTATTCATTATCTGAGATTCTTATAGCTTGCTTACAAAATACATAGCTATGATGTGATTTCTTCTGGAAACAGTTTGATAGAATTACGTAATCAAGAGCAGCAGTGGTCCTCTGCTTCTTCCAGTCCTTTCATTAGTTTAGAAGAGGAAGTGCAATTCTGGGAAGGCAGGTCTATGCATTTTCTTGACCCAGGACTTTATGGCTTCTGACTCCCTCCAACCTCCCTGACCAATAGCCTTTTCCTTTGTCAGTCTCCCATTTTATTTCCTGTTACATTATTTATCTGAGGGCAGAGGTGGGGGTGGGGGGAGAATTGGGATTCCAATCATTTCACTTTTCTTGTTTTCGCTAAATCTAGGATCACTAGCTAATACTGGTAAGATACTTCTATCAGGGCAATGAATATCTTTTTAATTAGTTATGTTTTTATTGTAGAAGTAATTGAATAACAGGTTCTTGTGTTGGCAATTTTATTAAAAAAAACAAAAAACTGACCGGGGGTGGGGGTGGTAATGCATGGTGTGCAGAGGAAAAACTTGACATTCTATGAGGCTGCCCCACAGGGAAGGCTAAAGGTTCACAACTGGAGGCCCCCGTGAGTACACGGGCACACATGTGCCCATGCTCCGGGGCTGGCTGAGGCTGGGGAGGATTATGGCATCAAGATCCTGTTGGGTGAGCTGCGTCTTTCTCAGTCACTCATGAAGACATAAATAAATAAATAAAATCGGCTTGGGTCTACTGCATCTAGAAATTCATGTAAATTCATTTGTATGGCAAATAGGAATGTTAATATAGTGTCTGCGAGTATGAAACAGTCCATATCAAAGCTTGTGTGTGTCTTTCATTTTAAAATGTGGAGCTGGCTCTTCTAGGTTAACTTTATTTTATTTAAAATATTACCTATAATAGTTAAAAAAATTAAAATTGTACTAGGATGGAGAACCAAAAAACAAGTCCCTCATCTTTCCCCTTCTGGATTCTAAAAGGCAATCACTTTCCATTTTCTTTTTCACCTAAATTGTTAAGTTTCCACCATATTCCTTTTTTTTTTTCACATGTAAAATTTTAATCAATGCATAACTATTGTTCATATTTATGGAGTGCAATGTGATGTTTTGATGCATATACACAGATGTAATGATCAAATTAGGGTAATTAGCATATCCATCACTTCAAACATCTATCATTTCGTTCTGGTTAAGAACCCTTGGGAACAGCAGTTGGCATAATGGCTATGTCGCTGGACTCCCATGTAGTAGGCCACGGTTGAGTCCCGGACCCAATGGTTTAAACTCATGCCAGGCGTGTGTGCGTGTGTGCCCAACATTCCGAGAGGAGAATGGAGAAGAAGGGATTGTGGTGTGACCATCTCCCCAGGGGGTGATTTTTCATTTTCTGTCTCTCTGTCTTTCTCTGTCTTTCTGGCGAGCACATGGGCCCTATGGCAAAAACCTCTCCAAAATAAAAAATTAAAAAAAAAGAACACTTAAAACCCTCTCTTCTGAGATAAATAGTATATTGTTATTAACTGTAGTCACCCTCTGTACAATGAAATACTATAATTTATCCCTCCTATCTAACTGTAACTTTATACTCATTGATCAACCTCTCCTGTTTTACCAAATTTTTATGTAGATTTTTACATAATTTTATATACATTTTATATTTAAATGCATGTATTGTTAGCACTTGCTTATTTACCAGTACTTATTTAGTCCTTTCTAACTACCATTCATCGCCTAACAACTTCAGAACTATTTAACTTAATTAATTTTCATAACAGTCCTATAAGGTAGGAACTCTACTGTTGCCACTTGTAAGTGAGAAATCTGAGTCACAGAGAGGCTAAGTCCCATGCCTAAGATCCCATAGCTAGTGGGTGAAGGACAGTTTATGTTACATTTTCTCATGAAGCTGCTAGTTCACTTACACCTTCCCCTCACACTCGCAATGTAATCCATAGACAGAACTTCTCTGATGTCACCCTATAAATATTAATCACTGCTAAGTCAACTAGTACATGGTCATTGTGTCCTTTCTTATGCAATTTTTTTTTCATTTCCTGGAGTTTGGATTTCTTTAAAACATCTCAGTCTTCTCACACCCTCATAACTCTACAAAATGCACCCTAAAGCAATTTAAAAGAGAGTCAAATTGACCACACCTTCTATTGGCTCCTTGGTGTTTTGGGGCCTCAGTTCCATTCTTGATTCTACCCTGTCTTGTCTGCTGCCAGCTGCCCTCCTGAGAGTTTCCTCGCCATCATTTAGAGAGTTCTTACCTCTCCTGGAGTTGCTCTTATCTCTCAGATCCCACCCTTGCTCTTGCTTCATTCACTCTCTCATTGGTCAGGAGCATTTCTGCTAGCAGCTTCGTGAGAAAGGGGAGTTACTTTGTTAACACTGGGGAATGTTTCTGTTCTTTGCATGATGGGAAAAAAGCAAAACAAAAACCTTTATTCTGTTCTTATACTAAATTGGTAGCTTGCCTAACAACTGTAGGATGAAACGTTTTCACTTAGAATCTTGAAGGACTGCTCTATTGTTTTCTAGCTTCTGAAGCTGCTTTTGAGAATATTCCATTCTTATTCCAGGTGCTTTGAATGTTACCTGACATTCTTTTAGAATTTCCTCTCTGTTCCTGATGTTCAGCAGTTTCATAAAGATGTACTATGGTTTGGAACATTTTTTAAAAAAATATTTATTTATTTAATTTTATTTTTTATTTTCTAACTTGATGAGAGAAGGAGAGAGAGGAAGAGAGACATGAGAGAGAGAGAGAGAGAGAGAACAAGCCGCCAGGTCCAAGACTTGAACTGTGGTTGACTACGTGGGAGTCCAGCACCTTAACCACCACACCACCTGCCGGCCCCCTATGGCTTGGAACATTTTTATTCATTCAATTTGCTTGGTAAACCTAATCTGGAGGCTTAACTTCCTTAGTAAAACATTCTTCTCATCTCATCTTTTTTTCTTTTCTTAAGTTGCTGCTATAAGGTGTATGTGCTCACATGGAAAGAGGCAGAGACAAAGAGAGACAGAGGAAAAGTGAGAAATCACCGTCTGGGATGGATGGCCATGCTACAATCCTTTTTTTCTGCATTCTCTCAGGATTTGGGGCACACATGTACACACCCTGGTGTGTTCAAGCCAGTGGGTCTCGGACTCAAACTGAAAAGCTGATTATGGGAGATTCAGCTGCCTTGAAACCACACCATGTGCTGGTCCTAATCCTTTTCTTTTTGATAATTTTCTCTTCAGCATTTTTTTTTCTGTTCTATTTGAAGAGAATCCCAATTGGCTGGATATTGGAATTCATGCATTGATTTTCTTATTTTATCTCTTCTTTCCCATTTCCCTTATCGACTTTTTCTCTTGCTGTCCGGGAGCAATATTTTCAATTCATGCAAATGTTCTTGTCGACCACTCCTTTCCTAGTAGCATATTATTCTTATCCCATGGTTGTATTATCCTTGCTTCTTTTTCTTTTTCTTTTTCTTTTATTTTTTTTGGAGAGGTTTTTCGCTATAGGGCGCGTGCGCTCGCCAGACAGAGAGAGACATAGAGACAGAAAGTGAGAAATCACCCCCTAGGGGGGATGGTCATGCCGCAATCCCTTCTCCTCCATTCTCCTCTCGGGATCTTGGGCACGCATGCACACGCACCCGGCGTGAGTTTTAAGCCACTGGGTCCAGGACGCGAACCGCGGTCAACTACGTGGGAGTCCAGCGACATAGCCATTACGCTAACTGCTGGTTCCCTCCTTGCTTATCTTTCTGAGGATACTAATCACAGTCCATTTTGTTTTTTGAGTTGCTTGTTTACTCTGAACTTCTCCTTCTGCCTGTGTTTGGTGGTGTGCCGCAAATGTCTGGCGACCTTTGGTAGTCTAGTCCTTTCAAGAGTAAAGTTGCAATGATTTGTAATGAGCTCACCTGGCACCATGCCTGTGGGTGGTGCCTGAAGATTGCTGGGCCTTACCACAGCATGACCAGGTAATTAGGAGGTCT